AATGCACTTGCCTTGACACAGATGACCCAAGTTCAATTCCTGTACCACAGGCACCCGAGTACTGTTGGAGTGATCCCTGAGCATAGAACCAGGACTAAGTCCTGAGCACCACTGGACTTACTGCTAGATATGCCCCCTAAACCAAACAACAAAATTCCTGCCAAATGCCCAAAATGCTATTATCAACAGACACGTAAATCACGGTAAGTTAAAAATTAAAACACTGATACCCATGTCCTACATCAAGATTGCAAAGATAGATGGAAACACAAGAAATTACAAAAGTCACTTAGTGAAAATTGTGCATACTCTGAAAAAAATATTAACTATTCAGTTCTGTAGGTAGATATTAGATAATTTAATGATAAATTAAAAGAGAAAAAGGGTTCCAAGGAGATTATGTTCATAATTGTTCATAGCAGCTCACTTTGTGGCGTTCTGGGGTTCCCAAGGAGCAAATCCAAGCCACAAATGCAAAGTATCTAACACTCTATGTCTGAGCTACATTCTTGGGTCCTTTGAATTTTCTACATTCTAGTCACCACATCTGATAGGTTATAGAAACTGTTGAAAGGAGGGAAGGCAGAACTGATGGTTGGTACAATATTAGATGAAAATAAAGCTGCAAGGGATTAGGCAACTTGCCTAAGATCACATGTCAGAAGGTGGCAGAGCTAGAAGTCTAGCCTGTTTGCCAGCTTTGTCCATAGCTCTCTTCTACTATACTGAATTCCAAGTTGCTGAAGTGAAAACTCGAAGGGAGTTCAGAAATCTCAGTGTCCCCCTAGCCATTTGTTCTGATAAAAATACGCTTTCTGGGGCACCCATTTTTTAAAACATAAAAATTCCCTAGAGTCTATGCAGGCAGACATGCTGCATAACCTACAGGAAAGAGGATTGTATTTCCCAAGAGCCCTAAGAAGTGAGTTCAGTGACTAAGCTTAAAAAACCATTTTCTATCTCAACACGTTCAACGTGACAGACAGGTGGCTAATTTACAAAGCTCAAAACATAAAGTAAAACACTAGACTCCTCCACCATATTAGCTACCTTTTTAAGAGTGCAGTGGCCTTGCAAGGCTAGTGGTTAGTGGCCAGCACGGATACAGGACCTTTCCATCATTGCAGAAAGTTCTTTGGAAAAAAGAATTCAACCCTTGGCTTTGAGGATGAGAAATGTGGGAAAAGAAAAAGATGACATCAATAACAACAAAAAAGAAATTAGGAGAAAGATCTTATCAAACAAGTGCCATATAGTTAGTTAATGGCAGAACTAAGACTTAAGCTTTTGCCAACGTTTCTTCTTCCTATCTCAAATTAGGGTAAGTTCAAATGGGGTCAACTTCCTTTCCATCCTTTCTTAGGGGTTCCAGAAAAATGGAGAGAAATCCTAACTAGGGGAAAAACACTCAGAAGGTTTACAGAAAGATTATTTTAAAAGCTCTAGACCAGGCTGTGGAGATAACTCAATGGGTTAGGATGCATGCTTTGCAAACCGGAGGAGGACTCAATCTCTCATACTGCATGATCTCCTTAAACTGCCTGGTCTGTCCCAATATTGAAATTCAAAAAAACCTGGACCAATTGACAATCTCCATACAAACTGTAACTAATCTTAGTTAAAAACACAGGGGTATGGGACCAGGGATGTGGATCAGGTGACAGAACACATGTCTGTGCAAGGCCATGGGTGTGATCTCTGGCATAGCAAGGCCCTCAGGTTGGCCTGTGCAGATTCCCAAAACAGCAACAGCAGTAGCAACAAAATAAAGAGAGAAAAAAAGACACTGGTATCAGGAGTAGCTTGTCGAAACTATTGGAAGTTCTTTCTTTTCTACTGTACTTAAAAAAACAAAAACAAGAAACACCATCCCTATCTCTCATATTTGAGACCCTGTGGCTAATGATACATTTTAACTGGCTAATCTTAAAATTGTGTATGTGAAGAGGGAGTCTCCTACTGTGAACATTTTCAAGATGAAAAATTGAAAAATAAGGAGCAACCAGAAGAGACTAGTGTATTTTTAGAACGTGGTCACTCAAGCCACTGAGCACTGTTGGAGTTTGGTAATTCAGTGGTTTAGTATTTATGACAATACTACAATTTAACTTTAAGCTATTGTTTCATTTTTCTTTTGACTTTTATACACATTTAAGATGGCTTAATTCCCAATGTAATTAAGGGACTAAGAGCTTCTGAACAGCAGTTTAGACACTAATCAGGCCAACTCAAAACCAGTCATTAAAAATATAGCCGTGTCTTCTTTAAAAATAAAAACCAGTTGTTCCTGTCTAGTATGTTTAGAATGCAAATGTCTGCAAAGTCAGTCATGGCAGTTCAAATTTGAAGCAAGCAGGAAAATGACTGGAAACTGCACATTTATTCAAATGCCAAAGGAAGAATAAGACAGCCCAATTAATTTTTTTTCATTATCTTGTACTCATTTCCAAATTTAAGCGAAAAGTGGCTATACTTAGAATAGTGGATATCAAAGTTTATCTAAAATGAAAATTGCAGCTTAAAAACACGGCAATATGATGCTTATGAATAGTTACTGAAGATCATTTTGGCCATAACTGAAAAGGCACCCAGAAGACTTGAGTATGGGATTCTATATAAATAGAAGCTACTTGTTATTCACAGGAGGTGGTGAAAAAAATAAAAGGCAGCTATTTTCTTTCTAAACACTTTTTGGCACTGAGGTAAACAAACGGGGTGGGGTGGGGGGCAGCAGAATACAGCCTAAGAACGCTGGAGCGGGCACAAAGTCTCTAAATCATAGAAGGTGGGAAGCAGGTGCTCTACCTAACCTTATCTAAGGGACTGAGAGTTTCAGGTGGAGCTTGCGTCTCCGAGCTTCTAGACCACATTGACCACATCTTAAGGGTATCTGTTAATCTTCACACTTACACCACGAAGAGGAAAGCATGCGCCCCCTAAATTCTTGTGTCAGTGACCCTACTTTCAGGGGCAGCGTGTTCACCGGGCGACAAGGGAGCCTTGGGAAAACGTTCAAAGAACAGGAGCAGACACTGAACTAGAGTCAGCGGGTGGTGTATATAGGTGAGGACTCGGGCCAATTTAGAGGGCAACCCCAGGAAAGGATGCTTGCAAACCTCGTAGGAGAGTTGCAAGGAGAAAAATAAGGAGAGGGGCCTCGGAGAGGGCAAACAACTCGGAGAAGACCCTCCCCCGCCTCCCCAGGCAGAGACAAGGGCGAGTTTGTGGGGGGCCCTTCCCATCAGCCCTCTCTTGCTAATCTGGGGACGCTCCCAGCACTCCCCACGGGGCAATCAGGCATCCCCAGGGAGAGGATGGAGGCAACAAGCAAATGTGCCTCGGGACGCGATAAGTCTTAGAGATGCTGCTCAACTTTCACAGGGCACCAACAAACAATCCCCCACCCCGAAACAAACAACTGGAGCAGGGACACCCCCACCCCTGCAAGCCCCCTCCCCACGCGGTCCTTTCCCAGCCGCCCCCCCCCCGCACAAGGGAGGGGTGCGCGACCCCGCTAAAGTTTCCAGCGGCTCCTCCCTCTCCCCAGCCCTTCCTTCTTGGCACACCCCAAATGTAGGCCACCGAGTGGGGGGGACGGGGGAGGGGGGAGGGGGGAGAGGTGGGTGGGGGAGCCGAGGAGGATGTGAGAGCGGATTCGAGAAGCGCCAGCCGGGAGCCGCGGCCGGGCGACCTACCCCTCGGCAGGGGCGGCCGAGGACGGGGCCGGCGGCTGGGGGTGACCTCCACGGCCTCCCTCCCGCGCCCCTGCAACGTCAGGGCCCCAAGTTCCCAGCCGGCGCCGGCGCCGCCGCCCCCACGTGCCCACCCCGCCCCCTTTCCCCGAGGGCCACCTCCACGTGCCGCGCGCAACGCAACGGCTCTGCGAGCGCGCCCCCCGCCCGCTGCCCCCGCGGCACCCCCCCACCCGGGCTCGGGGGCCGTCTGGCTCCGGCACCCCGGGGGCGGCTAGGTGCGAGGGGGCCACCCGTGGGGGTGGGGTGGGCAGCGGACGCGGAGAGAAACTTTCTTCTCCGAGGTTCCTTCCCGCGAGCCGAGCGGGGGCAGAGAGAACCCCGATGAGTCGGTGGTGGGGGGGGAGGAGGAGAGCAGAGGGGGGGAGGGGACCCCCTGAATTGCTCAACGGCTGGCGGGGGCGTGGGAGGGGGTTTGCTCCGGAGGCGGAGGGGGGCGTGGGACGGGGTGGGTGGAGGCAAAGCAGGCCCGGGAGCCCGGGGAGGAAGCGGCAGGGGGGTCCTGGGGTCGGGGAGCGGCAGGCGTCCCCCCAGCACCACCCCAACCTGGCACACAAAGCGGCTGCCGCGCTCGGCTCTCACCCGATCCTTTGTGTTTTCCATCAGGGCCTCATGGGTAGGGGTGGTCCGTGCTCCCCGGGCCCGCGGCGCCCCCTCCCCGGGCGGGGGCAAGGCGCCTTCTCCCCGGGACGAGCGCGACTCCAAGGGGGGGGCCCGGCAGGGCCCGGACCGGCGGCGGCGGCAGCAGCCCCCGGATTTCCCCCCTTTAACTCGGGTGGCCCCAGGATATCAACAACATTAGCATAGCCCTCCCTCCCCAGCGCGCCTGCGCCGTGACCCGCGCCCCGATTGGCCCACTTCCCCACATACCCTCCTTTCTCCCCCTCCAGCGTGGGACCCTCGACAGGCGCCGTACTCGCAGGGCCGTACCAAGACCACGGGGTGGGCCCCAGCAGCTGGGGCGCGCGCGGGGCCGGCTGGTTCCGAAAAACCACCAGGCGGAGCGGGGCGTCTCATCCGGCCATCGCCGCGTCGCTCCGCTCCTGGCGTCCGCGGGCTCCGGGGCCGTCGAGCCGCAACGGCCAAGTCGCGTGGGTGAAGGTTTGCCCCACTCTAGTCACGCCGCTTCCCCCTGGACCCGGAAGATCGGTCGTCCCGGAGGAACGCCCCCGGAGGCGGGGCCCGAGGGGCGTGGGCGTGACGTCGGGCGCGGGGGTTGGTCACGTGCGGCCGGGCCGCGCAGGCTCCTTCCGGTCCCAGGGGGCGGGGGCGGGGCCTCGGCGGCGGCCGGCGGCGCCGCGGCCCCGCACACGCGCCGTGCGGCTCCACGTGAGCGCCCGCGTCGCTCCTCCAAGTCCGCGCGATGCCGCCCGAGCGGAGAAGCCGAACGAAAGCGGGTCGCGGGCCCGGCGCGAAGCCGGAGCGGAAGGTCCGGAAGCGGCCGGAGCCGAGAGCCGGCGAGGGGCCGCGCGGGCCGCCCCGCAAGGCTGCTCCTTCATCCCCGCGGGAAGCCCCGGCCGGGCCGAGCGCCGCGACCGCTGTAGTCGCCGTCGCGGCGGCGGTGGCGGAGGAGAAGCGGCTCCGGCAGCGGAACCGCCTCACGCTGGAGGAGGACAAGCCGGACGTGGAGCGGTGCCTGGAGGAGCTGGTGTTCGGCGACGCGGAGGCCGACGAGGACGCGCTGCTGCGGCGGCTGCGGGCCCCGCGGGTGAGGGGAGGCGGCGGCGCTCGGGCGGGGCGCGCGGGGGGCGGCGAGCCTCGGGGGCGGAGCCTGGGCGACCTGCGGCGCGCGCGGGCGGGCGGGCGGGCGGGCGCTGGGTGGCCGCGAGCCCGAGACCCCGGGGCCGCCCGTCTCCCGAAGCCCCGCGCGCTGCGCCGCGCCGCCTGCCGCTCGCTCCCCCACTCGCTCCCCCACTTTCCCCCTCCGGGTCTGGCGGGTGCGGCCGGGGCGTCGTCGGCGCTCGCCCGGGGTCTGACCGTGACGCTCGGAGCTCGCTCGGCAGCCGGTCCCTGGGGCGCGCCGCTGGGTGTCCTCGCGGGGGGGCGGGGGGACGTGTCCCGGACTGCCCTGTCCTGGGTGCGAGGAGACAAACCTCCCGGCTATTCCGTTTGGTTTTTCTTTGCCGCGTCCCACTACCCCCCCGCCCCCGCACCCGAAGCCCCCCGCCGCCCCGCTCCTCGGCTGCGACCCACCCTCCGGGCACTGCCGGAGGGAGACGCAGCCGCGGGCAGCGGCCCACGGGACCGGCCCGCCCGTCTTGGAGCTCAGAACGGAGGCCGGGCGGGGGTGGCCGTTCGCGCAGCACGCCCGCGGCGGGGACCGGGAGGAGAGGAGGAGGACGGAGGCGCCTCGCCTTCCCCTTCGGGCACCCCCCCCCCCCCCCACACACACACACGCCGGGCCCTTGGCAGGACCTCACCGAGGAAACGCCGGTCCCGGGCGCGGGGACGTCGTTTGCTGAGTTCCGTGGTGTGTCGGTGCAGCCCGAGCCCACGTGAGTGCGTCTCCCGGGCTCTGGGTCTGGGTCTGTGTTGTGTTTGTAGTTGGCTCGGGACGGTCCGGAACGGAGTGCCCGAGAGAGAAGGGTGCAGGGTGCAGGGTGCACGCCCCTGCACCCCTCCCCCCCACCAGAGTTCGGTTCCCTGAGCACTCTCAGGAGTGAGTCCTGAGCACGGAATCAGGACTAAGCCCTGAGGACTTAGGGGTAGCCGCAAAGCTAGAAAGAAGCATCCCTGGCGCAGGGAAATGGGAAAAAGGGTTTTCCTAACAATCGGAGGTATCATGTTTGACATTTAATCAGGTCATTTTGTCTTCTGTGCTAGTCTGCCTCTGGTCCTGTGCTTTGAGTAGATCTGGAATTTTTCCCATTTTCTTTTCACAGGTTTTTAGTTTTTTTTTTTCTTTTTCTTTGTGTCGCGGGTGGTTTTTAATGAACGAAAGTAGCTTAGGAGAGGCAGAGGAAATGGGTTCAAGAGAGAACACAGGCTTCTCCAGACAGCAGTGAGATAAAGTGATCAACCCTTGTTGATGCCTTGCTGGGTCTTTAACTTTGGGCGTTTTTAACTTTCTTTTCCTTGAATGTGCACCTTTTGTGTGTGTGTGTGTGTGTGTGTGTGTCACACCCAGCAATGCTCAGGGGTTACTCCTGGCTTTGCATTCAGGAATTAGTCCTGGCGGTGCTCAGGGGACCATATGGGATGCTGGGAATCGAACCCGGGTGGGCTGCATGCAAGGCAAATGCCCTACCTGCTGTGCTATCCCCATATGCACCTTTAAGCAGGTGGTTAGAGAAGGTCCCATTCATGCTCCAATCTCGTTTTGTTTCTAGCATTGGCTCCTGACTGGTCCATCCATTATTTCAATAGTGGACTTAAAAAAAAAGCTAAAATTCAGTGTGTTATGTTTGTGACTATAAAATATAAACGCCTTTATGCTTGAAGATGTTTTTTTTTTTTCTAGGTTCAAGTTCGGAAGGACTCTGATGACTCAGAAGTGGAGAATGAAGCAAAAGATAATTTTCCACCTCAGAAGAAGCCAGTTTGGGTGGATGAGGAAGATGAAGACGAGGAAATGTTAGTTGCCTTAATTTTTTTCCCCTGGAGTCCCTCTGCTTTAAAAATTATTTCATATGGGGTCAGAGTGATAGTTTAGCATATAGGGCAGTTACCTTGCACGAGTCCTACATAGAGTTGATCCTTTGCACCCTAGGAGTGATCTCTAAGTCTTCGAGAATCTATCCCTGAGCATAGAGCCAGGAGTAAGTTCTGCTGGGTGTGACCAGCAGCCCCCCTCTCCCCATTGCAGTTTTTTTTTTTAGGTTCTTTTTACAAACATGATTTTGTAAAAAAAAAAAAAAAACACATTGAGAAGTATACAAAGGAAAAGCCATTCATAAACGGCAGGGAGAAAATCATTGTTAGCACGTTGATGTGCTACTCCTTGTCTTTTTTTCTCATACTTAAAGAGACTAAGAGAGTACTGTGTTCAAAAAAAAAAAGAAGTAATGGGCCTTCTGTAAAGTAAAAGAAATCTAAAGAAAAAAAGATACTCTTTTATTTAAAAAAAAAAAAAGTACTGTGTTTGATATCTGACCTGAATTTGCCTCCTGATTTGGTCAGCTCATAACTGGCCATGGACAAGAGAATGTACTTTTTCCCTTTATAAAATGCATGTAACAGGGACTAGAGCGATGGTACAGCCGGTAGGGTTTTTGCCTTGCACAAGGCTGATCTGGGTTAGATCCCCGCATCCTGAGCACTGCCAGGAGTAACCCCTGAGCATTGCTAAGTGTGACCCCTCCCCCCAAAAAATACATGTAACAGTATTTTACTTTTCGTTTTGGGGCCACACACTAGCAGTGCTCAGGGCTTATCACCACTGGCTCCAAGCCCTGGGATCTCTCATGACAGGGCTCTGGGGTCCATATGAGGTGCCAGGGATATTGTTCCCGGGTCACTTGTGTGCAAGGCAAGCACCCTGCACACTGTACTATCAGTGCTGTCCCATTAATAGTATTTGTATAGCAGTACATGAATTTATATAATTCTTTGAGACGAAATAGGACAATGTCTGGAATTGTGCATAGGCTTAAGAAAGGTAGAATATGTAATATGTACCGTAGTGAATGAGAATATTTTGTGCTATTAGCATTTTTCCCCACTTAAAAAATGAATTTGGGGCCCAAGTGATAGTACAGAGGGTAGGGTGTTAGCCTTGCATGCAGCCCACCTGGGTTCAATCCCTGGAATTCAATGTGATCCCTCAAGCAACGCTAGGAATGATCCCTGAGTGCTGAGCCAGGAGTAACCCTTGAGCATCGCTGGGTGTGACCTCAAAAACAAAACAGTAAGATTCATCAGAGAAATGTTTCCTCCTGGATTTTCATCATAGTATTTTTTTTTTTTTTTGGTGGGGGATGCACACCTGGCATTGTTCAGGACTTACTTTGGCTCTGCGCTAAGGGATCACTCCCGGCAGTGCTTGAGGGACCATTTGTGGTGGTGGAGATCCAGCCTGTGTGGGCAGCATGCAAGGCGGTCCTTATGCGCCATACTGCTGCTCTAGCCCCTCATCATAATATTCTAAGGTTTGACTTTCATAGTATTGAGTTTGAAATAATAGCTTTCTGAAGAGTTAGATAACTGTTTCTGGCTGGAGAGGTAGTCTAGGGATTAAGTCACTTTCCAGACATTCAGCCTGACTAGTGTGATTCCTGGCACAATGGGGTCGGTCCCCAAGCATCTAGCATTGCCTGAACTGGGAGTAGCCCAGAAGCAGGTTCAGTGTGAGCTGCTTTCCTCCTCCTTTCTGTTGTTGGGGAATGGAGAATATGCATGTGGGTTATTACGCGCTTTAATATCAGGACCTAAATGTACTCAGTGAAATGCTTCAGAGTACTAGCGGCAGCAACTATTTGTTGATTTTTTAAAAGATATTTACGTATATGGTGCCGGAGTGATACTGCAGCGTGTCCCAAACCTGAGCACCTCCCGGAGTAACCCCCTGAGCATTGCTGGTTGTGACCCACAGAGCCTAAATAAATTAAAAAAAAAAATATATATATATATATTTATGTTTGAAGCATGCTTTTTTTGTTTTTAGGGTTGAGATGATGAACAATAGGTTTCGGAAAAACCTGATGAAAAATTCCAGTGAGAGTAAACTTTCAAAGGAAAAGCTTCAAAAGCGACTTAAAGAAGAGTAAGTATCCTTTCTCATACATTTACCAAAAGGTATTTATTATCAGTAGTTCATCTTGATTTACCAAATCTTTGGGTAGTGAGATTTCCAATTTGAAACAGTAAGAACATTGCTATTGGAAGAAATAATAATTTCAATAATTTTGAAGGAGAGGGATTATAAATAGAGAGAAAATTCAGGGAAAACATATGATACAATCAGCCAAATAAAATCAGAGCTAATTTGCTTGATCGCTTTCATATGGTAAGCCGTTTTATTTTCTTAACTTTATAATATAAAAAATAGCAGCTACAAACAATTGGTATTGGGGTTGAATTAAATTTATTCTCTTGATTTGGCAGTTGCTTGATTTGCTTATGTGAGACACTTGGTTCAGTTCCTGGCACTGGTAAAACAGTTTTAAAAAACATCTGTTACTTGTTTTATCTGTTGGGATGTTTTCCTGATGTGTTTGAAAGTAAGATGAGACGCAGTGATGCTGCACTCCCATTTCTTACTGTGCATTAGCTAAGATTGAGGACATTTTCCTTCATATTCAGGATACTGTTGTCCTGCCTAAGCAAATTAGTAGAGCCAAGGAGTGAGTTCAAAGGGGTGAAAGCATGCTTGCCCCCTAGAGTTGCCTGAGTTCTGTTCCTGGCACCAAACGGCTGCTCCTATGAGCACCGAACTAGCAGTTGCTCTGAAATCACTGCTAGAAGAGAAAAGACTTATTTGTAAACTTTGTTCTAAGAAGCATACTCTAGACTGAATTAGTATCATTACTAAGGTATGACTGGGTATTTACTGAATGTTCTGAGGCAGTTCAATAAAGATTCTTCTTCTGACTGGTTGGAATGAGTGTCTGAGTTTTGGTATCATGCAATTTACAGGTCGTGTGTGTGTGTGTGTGTGTGTGTGTGTGTGTGTGTGTGTGTGTAAAATGCATGATGTAGTTTACAGGTCCTGAGAGAGAAAATGGGGGGAGGGAGTGAGGGCGTGGGGAGCGGGAGAGAGAGAGAGAATGCAATGCAAGATGCAATTTACGGATCCTGTGTGTGTGTGTGTGTGTGTGTCCCTAACCTTTTTTTTTTTTTTTGACCTCATGGCGTTTTGTCCTTGGAGAGTACCACTTAGTGTTTAGGACTTCTGTGGATTTCTAGAACTGCTTCCTTTTTCACGGGGAGGGATGTGGTTACCTGTGAGTATTGGGGTTATTCCAGCCTCAGTGTTGGGGGTTGCTTCTGGCAGTACTGCAGTTCTGGTGATGGAATCTGGGCATCCTGCAGGAAAGTGCACACTGTCTTTCCAGCCCTGGAGTGCTTTTTTTCTTCATTAGTATGTATTGTCCTTCTTTTCAAGGTCTTTTTCAAGTCTGACTTTTTCCTATGGCTTTGTGCCAGGACCTTATAAGGTGATGGTAGGAGAACTCACTTTGAAATATCTACAGTCCAGTTTTGCCAGTTGTGTAATTTCTGGTTTTGTGTGTTTGGTCCAGTTGTATATTTCTAGTTGTTTATAGCCAGTGAGTTTAAGTTGGTAGGCTGATATATATTTCTGCATTAAACATGTACAAGACGCTTTGCATCTTCCAGATTCTAGCACTTAAAAATAACTAAAATGCATCTCCTAAACCTTTCTCCAGGATGAACTGCAGCCTATTTATTCAAAGGCTGTGTTGTGTAATGTTATACAACAAAATAAAATGTTGTATATTGCTAACCTGGTCATTTGCTTACATCTTTTCTTTAGAAGAGATCCTATACGTGCTCCAACAAAAAATTTTTGAATGTATCAAGCTCTATGAACCATACAGTGATTATCACAGTTGTATCTTTGTTTAGATTCCAGCATGCTATGGGAGGAGTGCCTGCCTGGGCAGAGATGAATAAGAGGAAAACATCTTCAGATGGTGAGTTGAGATGCTTGTGTGTGTCTGAGTTAGCAAAAGATTTTCTATTTCTGTGGTTATTTAAGCTTTTTCTTGAGGTTCATTAGGACATATGTTTCAGATATATGTCTCCTTTGTTTTTTTCCTTGTGAAAGCCTAGTTTTGAAATCTGCCGATTTTCTGAGGGAAACCTTTTACAGTAGTAAGAAAGTTTTGTTTAATTGCCCATTTTCCATTCCATAGACAAAAATGGATATGTTTTATGATATTTCATTCTCAGCAAACTGTGTTGCATTGTAGCATATAGAATTACGGGAAACAAAGAGCATCATTCTTTTTGATTAAGAGCCCCTTCTGGGACTGGAGCGATAGCACAGCAGGTAGGGATTTTGCCTTGCTCGCAGCTGACCCAGGTGTGATTCCCAGCATGCCATATGGTCCCCCGAGCACCGCCTGGAGTAATTCCTGAGAGCATGAGCCAGGACTAACCCTTGTGCATCGCTGGGTGTGACCCAGAAAAAAAAATAGTCCTTTCTGACTACATTAGCAGTTAAAACCTAACTGGTGTCCATTAGGAAATGTTTCTCTAAGGAGCGCATGTCAGGCTCAGTATAATTCTGAGCTGACTAGTGTTAAAAACCTGCTTTTTTTAAATTCTCAAGTTCTAAGTTTGGCTTGTGTTGTAACCTTTTTTTTTTTCCTTATTTTAGATGGGGGGTTCTTTGAAATTACATAATTTCTCTAACTTGGTAACCAGTTTCTTCCTGAAGTACTTTATTATTCGCTTGAGAATGCTATAAACATAGATCACAGTTTTGGTAAGGTTAGCTGTTGACATAGGGGCTTTCCCAGATTACGAGGGATTAGTCCACGAGAAAATTTGTTTTTATGTGTACGAAATTGGTGTGGTAGAAGATGATCCTCACTTAAGAGTTCCAGGTTTAGAGATTCTGCCATCCTTAGGCTGGCTTTTCCCACCTTTCCCATGTTGCTGACATCCAGCCAAGAGAAGGAAGAAGCCTTCATCCAAGGGAGTTTTTATTGGCCTTTCTTGGAAGTAGGATTGAAACTTTCTTTTTCTTTCTTACTTATGTTTTTAATTAAATCACAATGTTACACACAGTTATAAAATTGTTCATGATTGGGTTTCAGTCATACAATGTTCCAACACCTGTCCCTTCACCCATGTATATTTCCCACTACCAGTAGTTTCAGTTTCCCACCCCCATCCCTGCTTGGGATTGGTTCTTTCATAAATGTTTCGTTGGCCAAAATTTAGACCCCAGCACCCTGTAGCACTCCTGAGCACAGAGCCACAAGTACGTCTTGAGCTGGCCAAAAAAAAAAAAATGTTGGGCATAGTGGTGATTACATTTCAATTTTACAGTTATCTCCAAAGTTTTTTGTTTGTAGCAAGTATATCTGAGAGAAATAAGTATTCTTCCCTCTAAGTAGAGCTTCGATGTATCTTTTATCCTATCGTTGTAAACCTCAGAAACCAGCAGTAAGTTCTTAATATTACAGATTGTTTTATAATTGCTCTCATTATTTTACTCTTCCCCAACCCTCCCACCCAGTTTTTATAGCTTGATTTGTGTTCTAGTCTTCATAAGGCTTTTGAGTCTGCCTTGCTGTCTTTCCTAAGTTTTGGAAATTTTTAACTGTTTCCTCATATTCTACTTCTGTTACTGTCTTCGTTCTTGGGATGCCAGTGTGATAGATGGCTAAATACTTTTTTTCAAAGAAAAAACATAAGTCCAATTCCTTGCTCAATTCCGAATGTTGTATTATCCTCGAGCATATTAAAATTAAAATTTTTAAAAATGTTTTGGGATCATACCTCGTGATTAGGGCTTACTCTTGGCTTCGCTTTCAGGGATTATTTCTGGTGTTGCTCTGGGAACTTTATATGGTACTGGGGATTGAACCCGGTTTACCAAGTGCAAAGCAGTGCCTTGCCTGCAGTGCTATTGCTCTAGTACTGAATACAGTATTTTAGTGTTTATGGCTGATTGCTCCATTACTAAGATCTCTTATGATGATTGTTATATTTTAGTTTTTTAGTTAAAATATCTTCTCATTTGATCTGGTTATCTTTCCTTTATTACTGTATATTCTGTGAAAAATAATATTGTGGTTTAGGGGCCCTGAACAGTGGTGGTCTGGCTCTGAGCTTTGGGACCACTTCCAGCATTGATTAGGGAAACATGCAGATCCGGGTCTATTATATGCAAGGCAGGTGCCTTAACCCCTATACTATCTTTCATGTCTCTGTAATGATTACTTTTGAGACCGAAGGTGGTGACAACTCTTTTCCCAGAAACTTGATTTCTGGCCAGAGGGCCCTAGAAGTTCTAGAGCATGTCATTTCCACCAGAGATTGTGAGGATTGAAAGTTGGCCTTCATTTTTGAGGAGTTCTGTTGTAATTCTTTGATTTAACCCTAGGTATACTCTTCAGTCCTTAATGTCTTTCATGGCTCTAATACAAAGCTGGATTATTTACTCAAGAGCATCTTAACTTTACAGAACTTTTAGGGGCACAGAGAGAGCTAGTACAGCCCATGTCAGCATTGGGCCCAGTGGGTTGTGGTTCTAAAACAAACAGAAAATCCAAACATGGAGAGCTTTTAGTAAAAGTAAAATGGCCCTCTCATTTCTGTATTTTAAAAAATATGCTTAGCTTATCAACTCTCCATTAGAGCAGTCTGTAGGAGAAAAGTATTAATTATCTTTGAAGTATTGATGCAGTTTGCCTACATTGATCCTTTTGTTCCGCTAAAGTACTAACTCTTGTTCATTGAGTTTTGTTTTGTATGGGGTCCACACTCAGTGGTACTCAGGACTTACTCCTGGTTCTGCAGTCAGGGATCTCTCCTATCAGGATTTGGGAACATACTTCAATTTGTCTTGTTTGAATCACTGTGCCAAGTGTGCAAAGTTCCACTGTCAGCAGGTGACTTTTACCTGTATTGAGCTTTGTGTCATCTTTTCTTTGTCCTGCATATTAAGTTTGTGCTTTTACCAGTTGCAGCTTTAATAAAATGATTGAGATCAGGAGGTTGGGAAGGCAGTTGATACTTGAAATGCAGATGTGGGGGGAAGGAGCGGCTTTCTTACTGGTTGGTTCTAAAGATCCGCTTCTGGGCTTGTTTGACTTAGACGAGAGTGAAGAGGATGAAGATGATTTGTTGCAAAGGACTGGGAATTTCATATCCACATCAGCTTCTCTTCCAAAAGGAATCTTAAAGGTGAGAATCAGGGATGTCCAGCCTGTCTTGCTAATTACCTCTGAAAGCCTGTGTGCTTTCTAGTTAATTCATATATTTAAATTCGTGTTATCTGTGGGATTGCTTGTGTGTTTGCTCTCATTTAGCCTTGGTAAATATTTAATGAAAAGATAATCAGAAAGATTAAATTATGTTCTCAGTTATCTGTTAGGAATTGTATTTGATTTCCCCTCTTGCGTTTTTCTGTACTTTGAATCTCGTTCATGAAATTCACATCCAGTACACTATAGTAGTTCATGACTGGATTTCATTCTTCCTAAGATATTCTTATAGCAAGAAGAATTTTAAAAAGTCAAGTCATGTGATTTTTTTTCTTTTTTCTTTTTGTAAACTCCCGAATTCCTTATTATAGTTGCTAAGATGCAGCTTTTGCCTGTGTCTAAAATTTTACCTCAGATCTTTTACGTCTCATTTCCTACTCTAGCTAGGAAGTCCTTCTTTATGTTTCTTAAATGTTCTGAGACTTGTTTTTGTAAATCCCTTGTACTTTCCTTTCTCTTCAAGTAATACCTTGGAAAGAATTTTCCTGGCCATTCTATTTAAAGTGGTCTCCAGCAATTAACTTTCTAATTTTGTCACTGTGTCTAACTTCTTCAAACGCTTTTCCAGTGGGATTCTTCCACTAACTGTCTGTCAAAAGGAAGATCTGTCTGACAAAGATATTTTTCCCATTATAAAATACTGTTGTGTGGTAGATGAGAAGGGTACGCTGTTAAGCAAGTCAGTAGGGGAAAGGTAATCTGTCTCCCTCTCACTTTATGAAGATGACTCGTTTAGCTCCGCACAAGGTGACTTTATGTATGTGCTAACTACTGCTGAAAATGTAGTTAGCATAAACATTTAACTACAAGTAAAATACACATACTTTTTTTTTTATTATTATTAGTGAAACACCATGAGGTACAGTTGTAGATTTACAAATTTTTGTGCTTGGATCTCGGTCATACCACGATCAAATACCCATCCCTCCACCAGTGCCCATTTTCCACCACCAGGATAATATCCCTCCTCCCCCATCCCCCCATCCTCCCCTGCCACTGTGGCAGGGCATTCCCTTTTATTCTCTCTCTCCTTTTGGGTGTTGTGATCAGCAAAAGAGGCATTGAGTGGCGAACATGTTCAGTCCAGTCTACTTTCAACCTGCATCTCCCCTCCTGGGAGGATCCTCCAAACACCCTCCACTTGGTGTTCCCCTTCCTATCTGAATTGTCGTTTCCCCTAGAATACCCGGCTGGCCTCTAAGTTATGGAATAATTCTCCTGGTGTTGATCTCAGCTATTCTTGGGTATTAATCTCATATTTTGTTACTTTATATCCCCCAGATGAAGGCAATCTTTCTATGTCTATCCCTCTCTTTCTGACTCATTTCGCTTAGCATGATACTTTCCATATTGTACCACTTGTATGTAAAGTTCATAACTTCATCTTTTCTAAGAGCTACATAGTACTCCATTGTGTAGATGTACCAAAGTTTCTTTAACCAGTCATCTGTTCTTGGGCACTCAGGTCTCTTCCAGTTTCTGGCTACTGTAAAGAGTGCTGCAATGAACAAACAAGTGCAGATGTCACTTCGGCTACACATTTTTGCCTTTCTGGGATATACTCCCAGGAGTGGTATCGCTGGGTCAAATGGGAGCTCAATTTCTAATTTTTTGAGGAACGTCCATACTGTTTTCCAAAAGGGCTGAACCAGTCGGCATTCCCACCAACAGTGAAGGAGTGTCCCTTTCTCGCCACATCCGCGCCAGCAACGGTTGCTTTTGTTCTTTTGAATGTGGGCCAGTCTCTGAGGTGTGAGATGGTATCTCATTGTGGTTTTGAAAATACACATACTTTTTGCATGATTAAATTTTTGTTTTTTGATTCATCTATGAACATGTTCAGGTGCTCGAGATGGAACCCAGGACCTCATACACATGAAACTTGAATTCTCCCACTAAGCTACCTCTTTGTAGTTCAGTTGAATTTTTAGTGCAGGGGGAAAACTTGGGGGGCGGAGAGGAAGGAAAGAACTAGCTGGGATCAGACAGTAACGAGGCTAAGGAGTTTACCTTGCATTCCTCTGACCCTGGCTCAGTCCCCAGCACCAAGCCAGGAGTAGCCCCTGAGCACTGCTGTGTGTGTCCCCCAAACCAAAAAATAAAAAAGGAAATAAGAAAGTAGTCCATAGATTCAAAGAATCGTGAATATGTTTAAAATTAGCAACCACATTAATATATATATATTTTTCTTATAAAAATTTTTTTAATAGTGAGACATCGTGAGGTACAGTTGCAGACTTACACATTTTTGTGCTTGGGTTTCAATTCCACACATCCTAGGGGACAAGGGAGCTCAGATAAAGAAGGGAACACCAAATAGAGGTGTTGGGAGGATCCTCCCAGAATGGGAGAAGCATGTGGAAGGTAGACTGTAGACTAAGCACATTAATATTTTTAATTAAATTTTTAAAAAAATATTAGTTCAGGCTCCAGAGTTTACAATACTGTTGATAATAGGATTAGAATTTCGCTTACCACGTTCCAGCACCACACCCTTCACCAGAGTATCTCACTTCTTCCACCATTGTCCTCCTGTCCCACTACTTCTTCCCAACCTTCTCTCCCTCCCTTACTAAAGACAGGTTCTTAGTTTTTGCCACCTTTGAGTTTTTGTTAACCCATTAATTTCCTTTGTTGACCCCTTAATTTCCTTTATATCCTACATATGAGAGAGGTCATTCTGTGTCTGTTCGTCTCCTCCTAACTTCACTCAGCATGATACTCTACAGATTTATCCATGTAAATAATTGCATAATTTCATTTTACAGCTGAAGTATTCCATTATGCATATGTACCATTGTTTTTTAAATCTAGTCATCTCTTCATGGACACTTAGGTTGTTTGCAGATTTTGGCTACTGTGAATAGTGATGCAATGAATAAAGGAGTGCACATGTCTTTTCTGAATAGAGTTTTTGGTCCTTTGGGGGTAGTTGCTCAGAAGTGGAATTGCTGGGTCACATGGAATCTCAATTCCTAGTTTTCTGACAAGTGTCCATATTGTCTTCCCAAAAAGGCTGCAACAGTCGACATTCCCACTAGTGAATGAGAGTCCCATTTTCTCCACATCTGGGCCAACACTGTATTTTTTTTTAAACTGTTCTTTTTTTGATATGTAGGGACTGAGTTTAAAATAACATCCTCTCTATCCTTGCATGGCAGCCTTAGAACCATAGAGACAACCACATAGTCTCTCTTACTTTGTGTCATGAGTGCAAAGGTGCCAGAAAGCAGAAACTTGCAATAAAATTGCCCTGGAATTCAGTGTCCTTCCTTACCAAAATTGTACATTTTTGAAAAACCACTCTAAAATCTGTAAGGAATTTAATCTTCCTTAATTGAAAGAAGGTAAACATTTTTTATTTTTGGGCCACACGTGGCTTTGCTTAGGGCTTACTCCTGGCTCTCTGCTCAAGGAGCGCTTTCTGGCAGGGCTCAAGGGACCATATGTTGTCCTGGGAATTGAACCCTATAGGGTCAGCCGGAAACAAAGGCAAGTGCCCCACCCAATGTACTTTCTCTGCAGCTGATTAAAAATTAGTTCTTACAAAATGATTTGAAGGTGATGGTAGCAGAGCTGTGGCCTGTCCATTGCACTTCGTTTTGCATTGTAAACTGCTTTATAATGTTTTATGCTTTTAAGAAAAGAGCGTTTAGCTCATTGGAATTGATAAAATTACAGCTTTGTCCTTCCTTAGATGAAGAATTGCCAACCTGCTAATGCTGAACGTCCTACTTCTGCTCGGATCTCATCTGTGCAGTTTCATCCAGGTGCACAAGTTGTGATGGTTGCTGGACTAGATAACTCTGTATCGTTATTTCAGGTAGGCATTTTGGATGAAGACCTGTAGTGAAGAATGTTTACCATCAGGATACAGGGTCTGTGGAAGTAACCAACAGGAACATTTTGTACTGCCTTACAGGTTGACGGCAAAACGAATCCTAAAATCCAGAGCATCTATTTGGAAAAGTTTCCGATCTTTAAGGCTTGTTTTAGTGCTAATGGAGAAGAGGTTCTGGCTACGAGTACCCATAGCAAGGTTCTTTATGTCTATGATATGCTGGCTGGAAAGCTAATTCCTGTGCATCAAGTGAGAGGTAGGTTTTTAGTGAACACACAACTGATTGTTGTCCTCCCTTCTCCTTCCAAGCCCACAGTTTAGTTCATTAAACAGTTTTTATCACCCATAGGATTCTTAAGAATAGCTTACATTATTTGTAAATCTTGTGTTGAAATGTATTTGAATGAAAATAGGTAATTGATTTTATTGAATACTCAACTATGAGAAAATCATAATTTGGAAATGCCTTCCACCCCCACAATCAAAAAAAGGAGATGCAAAACAAAATATCTGAAAAGTTATTAGCATTTGATGCAGTAGAAAGAGCCTGATCATGGGAGCTAGAAAACCTAGGTTATACTTTCTTGAAAAAATTATTTTCATCTTTCTGATGTTTATGATGTAATAAGGATACCTCCCACCAGTGCTGCTTATAATAGAAATTTGGTTTACATTTAAAGGAAATAAAGCATTGCTTTTGGGGATTGTGATATATTTCAAAGAATGGACTACTTTCTAAGTATACTTTTTGTCAGGTGAAAGTAATATCTTTCCTCTGCTATGCCCATTCTTCTCTTGCATTCCCCTGGTCCTACTGTGACAAAATACAGTGACACCTTCATGAATCCTCTGGGAACCAAAGCCTTGTAATGAGGTTTGCTTGGTTGATGTTATAAATCTTAGGAGGTGGTGGCATATACTATAGCTCACTGGCAGCCCAGTTGCACAAGTGTGGGGCTGTAAAGGATTTTGTACAGCCTTATTTTTACTAGTGGTTGGAAGAAATAAGGCCAACTTTCAGCTTTGTTAACATTCATATTGTTTATTTTCTTTTTCTTTTTCTTTTTTTTTTTTTCGTTTTGGGTCACACCTGATGATGCACAGGGGTTACTCCTGGCTCTGAACTCAGGAATTACTCCTGGCGGTACTCAGGGGACCATATGGGATTCTGAGAATTGAACCCGGATTGGCTGCGTGCAAGGAAAATGCTCTCCCCTTTGTGCTATTGCTCCAGCCCCCCGTGATGTATATTTTCAATGTTACCACTCTTCTCTTTCCTATGTTCTCTGACACATTTTGTAATTCTTTCCAAATTGATTAATCTCTTTATGTAATCATACTTGATGCTTTTCCTCTGCTAACGTTTTTATGAATCACCCGGGGAGCTTGTTAAAGTGCAAATTCTGGTTCTGTAAGTCTGAATTTGGGGTGATGGTGGTTCTAGCAGCTCAGGTGATAGGATGGTTTTGCAGAGGGACCTCACTTTGAGTTGTGAAACTTTAAAGCATTTCCTTATATCAAGAGAAATTTTCCGATATCAGCACTATATAGTAATTGCTGGTTTTATCTTACCATGGCATGGACCTTGGAGAAGCAAGCCATGGTCAAGATAATAATCTTGATACTTTCTTAATTATGATAAACAAGACCTGGACCTGCTGCTGTTCAGGTTGTTTGTCCCATCACTGGCATCTTAAGAGATTGCATTTATCCTTTTACCCTCAGCATTTACTCTTTACTCAGTAAGAATAGCCAAGTATTAATGATATTGATTATAATAGTAACTATGAGTTAGACGTATTTATTTTGGTCATGGTATGCCTCTGAGTACCGTCCTGTCTTCTGTCATTGTTTACCGCTAATGTCCAAGGATGTAGTTCAGTGGGAGAGCCCCAGACATGCTTGCTTGAACCTGAGATTTTCATCCTGGGCATTGCCCCACATCGCTTGTTACTCTTCATTGCATTTCTGGGTAGGACTCCAGCACCACCAGTGTGCTCCACAACCAAGAGTATGTGACCCCTGAGTGCTCCTAAGTTGTCTCCAAACATTAAATTTACTTAAGGCTAAAGTTAAAGACATTGACCCACCTGCAGACAGGGAGAGGGGGTTGACTGTGTCAGGAAGGAGTCCTTTGGCACTTTGTCTCTGTTGTAGGCACACTCGCTGTGTTTGCACAGGTCCCACGCAGTAGGGATGAAATGAATCTCTCACCTGCAGTTACATTGGTAATTTCGGAGTAAAAGAGAAATTGGCTAAGCACTTTGTATCTGGGTGCTTATTCAGTCATGCATGTGGTCATGCTGGTTGAGTCTAACGTCGGTTTTGTTTAATTTGAATGCATTTCAATAACTCGGGGGATCAGAAACCCTTAATTGTTGATTTTTAAAAAATTTTTTGAAAAAATACTTATTTTATGTCATTGATTGATCTCCTTTCTTAGGTTTGAAAGAGAAGATAATAAGGAGTTTCGAAGTTGCCCCAGATGGGACCTTCTTGCTCATAAATGGTGTTGCGGGATATTTGCATTTGCTGTCAATGAAGGTATAACTCATTCTTAGTGGTTGGCTTGTTCTTTGAGGATAAGATATTCATGTCTTGAGCCATAGTTTCTGGTCCTTCAGTCTGCATCTCAGGTAGAGAAGCGTAGCAGAACTTGGGCAGAAGCTGTGGGCAGTTGGGTGACACCTTGGAATATTGGGGAAAGCAAATACAGGAACAACAAATAAGAGCTCGAATTTTTTAGAAAGTCATTCCACACAGTTTGATTTGTTCATTTACCTCCTTATGAATTTGATAAATAACACTTTTCTTCCAGACTAAAGAATTGATTGGTAGCATGAAAATCAACGGGAGGGTTGCAGCATCCACATTTTCTTCAGATAGTAAGAAAATATATGCATCTTCTGGTAAGTTAATGACATGGTGATAAAAAGTTTTTGATGCTTTAGATGTGGATGATAACTGTTTGATTTTTTTTTTTAAGTAAAAAATAAATTTTATTTGTAGAGTTCATTTTTGTCATTTTTGCTGTTGGTACTGAAGGGCCTTTAATGTATTTTGGGGAAAGCTGGGGGAAAAGTGCATATTCATTTGTTTTTTTTGCTTCATGGTTGAATCCAGGGCCTCACACATGCATTGGCATTGTTCTCTATATCTCCAGCCCTGAAAATGTTTATTGTAAGGTGACCCAGTCTTAAAATTTTCATTTTCTCTCTTAAAAGGTGCTAGTTTTAGTTTCTTTTCATGATCCCCCTTTAATTTTTTTCTTTCTCTTTGTTTGGTACTGGAGTAGGTAATGTGAATTTTCTTGATTGTTGATGGAAGACAATTCAGATCTCCTCACTGTTTTAGCACCACGGGGTACAGTTGTAGATTTACAAATCTTTGTGCTTGGGTTTCGGTCATACAATGATCAAATACCCATCCCTCCATCAGTGCCCATTTTCCACCACCATGGATAACCCCCCCCCCCCCCCCCCCCCCCGCCTCTGTGGCAGGGCATTCCCTTTTGTTCTCTCTCCTTTTGGGTCTTGTGGTCTGCAAAAGAGGCATTGAGTGGCAAACATGTTCAGTCCATAGTCTACTTTCAACATGCATCTCCCCTCCTGGGAGGATCCTCCAAACACACTTTATTTGGTGCTCCCTTCTCTATCTGAACTGCCCTTTCCCCTAGAATACCCGGCTGGCCTCTAAGCTATGGAGTAATCCTCCTGGTGTTGATCTCAGCTATTCTTGAGTATTAATCTCCTATTTTGTTACTTTATATCCCCCAGATGAATGCAATCTTTCTAGGTCTATCCCTCTCTTTCTGACTCATTTCGCTTAGCATGATACTTTCCATATTGTACCACTTGTATGTAAATTTCATGACTTCATCTTTTCTAAGAGCTACATAGTACTCCATTGTGTAGATGTACCAAAGTTTCTTTAACCAGTCATCTGTTCTTGGGCACTCAGATTTCTTCCAGTTTCTGGCTATTGTAAAGAGTGCTGCAATGAACAAACAAGTGCAGATGTCTCTTTGACTACACATTTTTGCCTCTCTGGGATATATTCCCAGGAGTGGTATCGCTGGGTCAAATGGGAGCTCAATTTCTAATTTTTTGAGAAACGTCCGTACTGTTTTCCAAAAGGGCTGAATTAGTCGCCATTCCCACCAACAGTGAAGGAGTGTCCCTTTCTCGCCACATCCGCGTCAGCATTGGTTGCTTTTGTTCTTTTGAATGTGGGCCAGTCTCTGAGGTGTGAGATGGTATATCTCATTGTGGTTTTGATCTGCATCTCCCTGATGATTAATGGTGTAGAGCATTTTCTCATGTGCTTTTTTGCCATTCGGATTTCTTCTTTGAGAAAGTTTCTGTTCATTTCATTGCCCCATTTTTGGATGGGGTTGGATGTTTTCTTCTTGTGGAGTTTAACCAGTATTCTGTATATCCTGGATATCAACCCCTTGTCAGATGTGTATTCGGTGAATATCCTTTCCCATTCTGTAGACTGTCTTTGTATTTTGGTCACTGTTTCTTTGGAGGTGCAGAAGCTTCTTAGTTTAAGATAGTCCCATTTATCTATCTCTGTTTTCACTTGCTCGGCCAGTGGCGTGGCATCTTTGAAAATACCATTAGCCTCAATGTCATGGAGGGTTTTGCCAACTTTGTCTTCAATGTACCTTATGGTGTCTGGTCTGATGTTGAGGTCTTTAATCCATTTTGATCTTACTTTTGTACATGGTGTTAGGCAGAGTTCTGAGCCCATTTTTTTGCATGTAGCCGTCCAGTGATGCCAGCACAATTTGTTAAAGAGGCTTTCCTTACTCCACTTCACATTTCTTGCACCTTTATCAAAGATTAGATGATCATATGATTGAGGGGAGATGTCATTCTATTTAACCCTGTTCCATTGGTCTGCAGTTCTGCCTTTGTTCCAGTACCATGCTGTTTTAATTATTACTGCTTTGTAGTAGAGTTTGACGTTAGGGAGGTTGATTCCTCCCATTTTCTTTTTCCCAAGAATTGCTTTAGCTATTCGTGGGGGCTTATTGTTCCATATAAATTTCAGGAGTGTTTGCTCCATTTCTTTGAAGAATGTCTTGGGTATCCTTATAGGGGTTGCATTGAATTTATACAATGCTTTCGGTAGTATTGCCATTTTGACAATGTTAAGTCTCCTGACCCATGAGCAGGGGATATCTTTCCATTTCCTCATGTCCTCTTTTATTTCCTGAAGTAGCGTTTTGTAGTTTTCTTTGTACAGGTCCTTTACTTCCTTAGTTAAGCTGATTCCTAGGTACTTGATTTTCTGGGGCACAATTGTGAACGGGATTGTTTTTTTCATGTAGCTTCCCTTTCTCTCACTGTTTGCGTATAGGAAAGCCATGGACTTTTGGGTATTGATTTTATAGCCTGAAACTTTACTATACAAGTCTATTGTTTCTAAGAGTTTTTTGGTGGAGGTTATTGGGTTCTCTAAGTATAGTATCATATCATCTGCGAATAGTGAGAGCTTGATTTCTTCCTTTCCTACCTGAATGCCCTTAATATCTTTTTCTTGCCTAATTGCTATTGTAAGTACTTCCAGTACTATATTGAACAGCAGTGGAGAGAGTGGGCATCCTTATCTCATCCCTGATCTTAGGGGAAGGCTCTCAGTTTTTCCCCATTGAGGATGATGCTTGCTGTAGGCTTGTGGTAGATGGCTTTAACTATGTTGAGGAAAGTCCCCTCTATACCCATTTTGGCTAGGGTTTTCATCATAAAGGGGTGCTGGATCTTGTCAAATGCTTTCTCTGCATCTATTGATATGATAATATGCTTTTTATCTTTTCTTTTGTTGATATGAAGGATTATATTGATTGATTTCCGAATGTTAAACCATCCTTGCATCCCTGGGATGAATCCTACTTGGTCATGGTGTATGATCTTTTTGATGAGTAGTTGGATTCTATTTGCTAGTAGTTTGTTGAGGATCTTTGCATCTGTGTTCTTCAGGGATATCGGCCTGTGATTCTCTTTCTTTGTGGTATCTCTGTCTGCTTTTGGTATCAGTGTGATACTCGCTTCGTAGAAACTGTTCAGAAGTGTTTTTGATATTTCAATTTCGTGGAAAAGCTTAAAGAGGATTGGGAGTAAGTCTTCTTTAAAGATTTGGAAGAATTCACTAGTGAATCCATCTGGGCCAGGGCTTTTGTGCTTGGGGAGACTTTTTATTACCATTTCAATTTCCTTGGTGGTGATAGGTCTGTTCAGGTATTCCAGGTCTTCTGGGTTCAGCCTTGGGAGTCTGTAGGAGTCTAGGAATTTATCCATTTCCTCGAGGTTTTGGGTGGAGCGATAGCACAGCGGGTAGGGCGTTCGCCTTACACGCGGCCAACATGGCCGACCCAAGTTCGATTCCTCCACCCCTCTCGGAGAGCCCGGCAAGCTACCGAGAGTATTCGATATGCCAGACACAGTAACAACAAAATCTCCAATGGAGACGTTACTGGGCCCGCTCGAGCAAATCGACGATCAACGGGAGGGCCTTTACCTTTTTTACCTCGAGGTTTTGATGTTCCGTGGCATAAAGCTTCTCAAAGTACTCCCTGAGGATCCTTTGAATTTCTGTAGTTTCTGTTGTTATGACCCCCTTTTCATTTCTGATTCGGTTTATTAGGGTTTTCTCTCTCCCCTTCTTTGTGAGTTTTGCTAGAGGCTTATCGATCTTGTTAATTTTCTCAAAGAACCAGCTCTTGGTTTCATTGATCTTTTGGATTGTTTTTTGAGTTTCCATCTCGTTAATCTCTGCTCTGAGTTTTATTATTTCCTTCCTCCTGTTCGGGTTGTGCTCCTTTTGTTGGTCCTTCTCCAAGCTCTTAGAGGTTAGTTTATTTATGTGGGCTCGCTCCTCCTTTCTGAGGAATGCTTGTAGAGCTATAAATTTCCCTCTTAAGACAGCTTTTGCTGTGTCCCATAAGTTTTGGTAACTCGTGTCTTCATTTTCATTTGTTTCTAGGAATCTTTTGATTTCCTCTTTGATTTCCTTTCTAAGCCACTCGTTGTATAATAGTGCACTGTTTAATTTCCAGGTGCTTGATTTAGTTTTCTGTTTTTGTGTGTGATTTACTTCTAATTTCAGTGCATTGTGGTCTGAGAAGATTGTTGATACAATCTCTATCTTCTTAATTTTATGGAGGTATGTTTTGTTGCTCAGCATGTGGTCTATCTTGGAGAATGTTCCATGTATGCTTGAGAAGAATGTGTATTCAACCTTTTGAGGATGAAGTGTCCTGTATATATCTACTAAGTCCCTTTCTTCCATTGTTTCCCTCAGATGAAGTATGTCCTTGCTAAGCTTGAGTCTGGTTGATCTATCAAGAGGTGACAAAGCGGTGTTGAAGTCTCCCACTAGTATTGTGTTGCTGTTGATTTCTTTTTCCAAATCTATGAGTAGTTGTTTTAAGTACTTTGCTGGTCTCTCATTAGGTGCATATACATTTATTATTGTAAGTTCTTCTGTTGTACAGATCCTTTGATCAATAAGAAATGGCCTTCACTGTCTCTTATGACCTTCTTCACTCTGAAATCGATGTGGTGTGATATTAAGATGGCTACCCCAGCTTTTTTATGGGAGCTGTTTGCCTGTAGGATTTTTTTCCAGCCTTTGACTCTGAGTCTGTGTTTGCTTTGACTATTGAGGTGTGTTTCTTGCAGGCAGCAGAATGTTGGGTTCACTTTTCTAATCCATCCTGCCACTCTGTCTTTTAATTGGTGCGTTTAGCCCATTGACATTGAGAGAGATTATTGTTATGGGATTTTGACCCATTGTTCTGTTGAAATTAGTTGTATTTGAGGGGCCTGTCCTGTCTTAAAGTAGCCCATTTAGTTGTACTTGTAACCATGGTCTTGAGTCAATGAAGTTCCTGAGCTGTTGTTTGTCTGTGAAACTATGTGTTGTTCCTTCTATTATGAATGAGAGTCTCGCTGGGTAAAGTATTTTTGGAGAGGCATTTATTTCATTGAGTTTTTTCAGTATGTCCCACCACTGTTTTCGGGCCATAAGGGTTTCATCAGAAAAATCAGCTGTGAATTTTAAGGATGCTCCTTTGTAAGAGATTTCTTTCTTGGATCTTGCTGCTTTCAGAATTTTGTCTGTCTAAAGTTTTGGTCATTTTGATCAGGATGTGTCTTGGGGTATTTTTGTTCAGATTTCTTCTAGCTGGTACCCTTCGGGCCTCCTGAATGTGGTCACAAGTTTTCTTCAGCTCTGGAAATGTAGCAATGATGTCTTTGACAGTTTCTTCTTCATCAAGGTTTTCTTCCTGTCCCTCTGGGACTCCAATAATTCTTATGTTACCCCTCTTGGCTTCATCGCGGTCTTCTCTTGCCATCTGTTCCCGAACTGTGAGTCTCTTTTCCATTTTCTGCTCTTTTCTGGTGAGTCTCTGAACTTCATCTTCGATCTCACTGATTCTGTTCTCAGCAGCTGTTACTCTGCTGCTGAGGCCTTCCACTGAGTTTTTCAATTCGCCTACCAGGTTTTTCAGGTCCGACATTTCCGATTGCATTTTCCTCATTTCTGCGTTCAAATCCTCTTGTCTTTTATTGGCATTGCTTTCCATTGTTTCTTTTAGTTCCCTGAGCATCCTAAGTAGCTCCCTTCTGAATTCCTTGTCAGAGAGGTTGTCTAACACTACAATACTGTTGGTGTCTTCTGGGCTAGCCTCTTCAATAAGAAAGTTTGGTAGGCTTTTCCGTTGCTTTACCATTGTGACCAGTGTGGTTTAGTCCTTCACGTTCACTGTTACTATTCTGGTTGAGTGAGGAGAGAGTTCCCGGATCCGTTCAGCTTTGTTGCTGCGAGATGGGATGTTGCCTCAGTTTCCGTCCCGTTCAGGTCAAGGGAGAAAACCGGCTATTCTAGGGGATCGAGCTAGCTGCGCATGCCCAGGGAGAGTCCCAAGCCGTGGGGGCAGGCTGTACCTGGTTGAATGAGGAGAGACTGCCAGGAGCCGTTCAGTTTTGTTGCCGAAAAATGGGCCTCGGTTCCCGTCTGGCGCAGATCATACTGTTCCCTCTTATGGTGGGAAAGGATTTTGGATAAGGTTGGTCGATGGTAGGCACCCTTCTACGTTTCTGAGTTTGACCTTCTTCTCAATCAGGAGTTATTCTTTGTTTTATAACCGACATTGAATGGAACTTTTTGAGGAGGTGCTATTTGGTACTGGGCTTATACAGCTATTTTCAAACAGGTCTTTGTTGGAAATGGAGTAGGCGAGTGGGATGTTGTTGGATTGTAGTAGAAGAGGTGGGAAATATTTGGTTGGTATTAGGCGACAAATTGTGTGATGAGAGTCCTGAGTGCTTGATGTGACCGATATAACTGAGGAAAAGGCCACGCCCACTTTGGGAGGCCACGCCCCTTCCTGGTGGCCACGCCCCTAGTCCATCCCAGGCCACTCCCACCCAGGATCCTGGAATGGAGGAAGGGTGGTGGACAGTCTCCCCGCTGGGCGGGGATTGAGGTGGGAATGGAGGCGCGGCTGGGGGGCAGGAGCGCTTCCAGGCTGGACGCCCCCTACCCACCTGGAGGGGAGGGACCGATGGATTGGTGGGCGGTCCCGCGGAGCTGTACTGATGTCTCCCCACTGGGCTTCACGTGGGAATGGAGGGCTGTTTTGCATTTTTGACCAACCTTCCTCGTCCCTGATGAGCTCTGTCTTACGCTGTGCTGCACTTCTGCCTTTTGGACAGCCCATTTGCTCTTTGACTCTCCTTCCATTCCTGAGGGATCTTGGGGCCTTCATAATTTTAGAATGACTGCCATTGTTTGGTGGATGATGTTTGAGTAATGTTCCTGTGAGTAGTGTTCTAAAATCTTTGCATAGCTTATTAGCATAAATATTGTATGTTAGCAAGGAGCCTTTGCTAATATGTTAATTTTTCTTTTTAAATTTAATTTTGGTTTTGGGGGTCACACCTGGTTGTGCTTGGTGCTTAACTCCTGCTCCTGACTCTGAGCTCAGGACTCATTCCTCTCAGAGCTCAGGATTGTATAGGGGTGCTGGGGATCAAGCCGTGAGACAGGCACCTTACCTGTTCTACTATCTTGATTTTTTTTTTCTTTTCAGACTAACCTAACTGTCTAAACTTTTTGTTATGTTTTTTAATTTGCTACTGTCTAACCTCGACTTCTACTCCAGCTTGGGGAATTTTGTCAAAATTTTGAAACAGTGACATTCATTGAATTCTCATTGGAGAAATAAGAATAAAGGAAGATGAACTTCAGAGCTGTTTAGACGGGGGTTGATACCTTTCTACAGGCAAAGAATTTTTTCAGAAATTGTAATGGGTATGGGGAGGATGGTGATTAGTTTCACATGTTGTAGATGACAGGAAAAAATAAGGATGATTTTGGCAATTAGATGCCCATTTGTGTGATTTCACAAAGTAAATTGGGGCTGCTGCACGGATGCCCCTCACCTGCCTCCCCAACTCCTCAGGCCACCCCAGACAGAGAGACAGGGAAATGGGGGACCACAGCCTGATGGTGAAAATGGCCCATTTAATGCAGAGCTGGTAGCACACTTACAGAATAAATGAGGGGGGTTGAGGTAAGGATATAGGTGTGATTGATCATTTACATAGATAAACATTTGGCAGATGCAATTCTCTTGGGGAGATTAACTCAAGGAGACATTCTGTCTATCATTGCTTTTATCTTTCCCTCTAGTTGTATAATACTTGCAGTTGTTTGGATAAATACAGTAAGTGACAAAGATCCCAACACTTAGTTCTCTAGGCTCTGAGAGCAAGCAAGGCTTTTACCGTAAATCCCAGACTAAGTCCTCAGGTCGGTTCAGCTTGTCCTTCCCCGTGGGGGTCCTGTCTCTTAAGTTGTAACAGCTTGCATCAAGACAGGCTTCCAACTATGGGACAGTATTCCTGGCCCTTGGGTCTACTGTCGTTGGATGTTGGTTTCATATTATGTTATTTTATATTCTCCAAATGAGTGCAGTCATTCTGTCCCTCTCTCACTCCTTTCACTTAGCGTGATACATTTCTTATATTTAAATTAGTAGGTGATAGATAAATTGTACAATGTCTTTCTGTTTGTTCTGGGACCACACCTGACATTGCTGAGGGCTACTCTCTGATTCTGATTCTGTCCTTGGAATTCACTTCTAGAGGTACTTGGGGACCGTCTGGTGCTGTGGTGGGGATTGAATCTAGGCAAACCCATGCAAAGCACTCTACCATTGAACCACATCGCCTGCCCTGCATTTATATTGTGAACTGTTTGGGTTCAGTTCATTCTTGACTTACTCCTTTTCTGATCATCATTTAAGCGTATATTATATTAGGAACTCTGGGCTGGAGCGATAGCACAGCGGTAGGGCATTTGCCTTGCATGTAGCCAGCCTGGCCAACTCGCGTTCGATTCCTCCGCTCCTCTCAGAGAGCCCGGCAAGCTACCGAGAGTATCTCACCCGCATGGCAAAAGCCTGGCAAGCTCCTCATGACGTATTCGATATGCCACACACAGTAACAAGAAGTCTCACAATGGAGATGTTACTGGGCACGCTCGAGCAGAACAACAGGAAGACAGTGCTACAGACAGTGGTATTTGTTAATAGTTGTTGGGAGACCAGTGCTAAGGAAGTATTTTGTTTTGGTTTTTAAAATTACTTTTCTTTACTACACTTGCTGTGTTCGTGGCTATGCTCTGCTCAGGGTCACTCATGATGGTGTTGGGGTGGGGGCGAATCATAATGCAATGCTGAGCATCCAGTCAGCATTGTCTGCATGCACGGCAAGTGCCTTCCCTCCCAGACTATTTCTCCAGCCTGCATTTTCATAGTTTTGCTCCTGTGGTTTATCTCCATGAAGTGGAAGTTTTCCTGAGAATTCAACCCAAGCCATTCTTATTGTAAAATTACTGTTTATTAAGGACTAGTTATGTAAGAAATGTTTTAGATCAATTTTTTTAGATCTAATATAAATATAGAGTATTTATAGTAGATCTTTATTGGTAGTACCTTGTGCTAGTAAAACTAGACTTAGAATGGTTAGTTCATTTGCCTTTGAAGTTTAAAACAAAATTAACCAAACCAAGTCTGGCAAACTCCCCGTGGCGTACCCAATATGCCAAATACCAGTAACAATGATGGGTCTCATTCTCCTAAAGAGCCTTGAATATAATCTCAGGGCTAGGATGAAGGAGACGTCACTGGGGCCTGCTTGAGGCAATCGACGAATAACAGGATGGTCATGTTGTGATTAACCAAACCAAGCTGAAGTGATAGTACAGCGGGTTGGATGTTTGCCTTGTACATGGCTGACCTGGGTTCCATCCCCTGCATCCCATTTGATTTGGTCCCCCGAGCACTACCAGGAGTGATTTCAGAGTGCAGAGCTAGGAGTAACCCCTGAGCATCACCAGGTGTGACCCCAAAAGCCCCCCGCCCGCCCCTACCCCCCCCCCCCAAAAAAAAAAAAACAACCAAAATTAACCAAAACCCTTTTGGACTTTCCTTCAGGGGATGGTGAAGTTTATGTTTGGGATGTGAACTCCAGAAAGTGCCTTAACAGATTTGTTGATGAAGGCAGTCTATATGGATTGAGCATTGCTACATCGAGGAATGGACAGTACGTTGCTTGTGGGTAAGTAAAGAGAGGCTTGTAAAACTTGTAATTGCATTGTGCTAATAAAATAAGAAAGTTCCAAAAAGTTGATGATATTGAATGGTGCTTGAATAGTTCTGTTTATAAACAATTCAGTAATAAAGTTGGTATACTTCTATCGTTGGGAGAGGGGGATTGGAGTTTTTGGGCCACTCCTGTGGTGTTCAGGAGCTATTCCTGACTCTCAACTTAGGAGTGCTCCTTGGTGGTGCTCAGGGGACCATGTGTAGTGCTCAGAATTCAGACAAGGCTGGATGCAAGGCAAGTACCTTAACTTCATTGAGTTCCATATGGTCTCTTTGGCCCCCAAACCAGACTTTTAAAAAAATATATGTTTATTTTTATTTTTTAATTTTGAGGGACCATACCTGCCAGTGCTCTGGGGTGCTATATCAGGGCTGGGGATTGAGCTGTGTCGCTACATGTGAAACAACTTAACCCCTGTACTATTTATCTGGCCCTGCACAGTTCTGATTCTACATCTGACTTAATGTAGTATTTAATGATAATGCCTGCTCTTCAGCAAATACTGAATTACCTTATGTCCTTGTGTTTTTTTCTTTTGAAATACTCATTTGATCACATTATTTTCCTATTTCCTATTACTATTTTTGCTTTCTCATTGATAAGGAAGCAGATTTAGTTAAACTTTGGGTTTAAAACTCATTTTTAGGACAGTGGAGATAATTCAAAGTCCTTGTCCCTAGCCCTGCATGGTTCCCTAAAACACCACTGGTTACGGCTTCCCATAAAAAATAAAAAGTGATTTTATAGAGGGCAGGGCATAGAAGATGGCTAAACCTTGCCACCCCACACATTCTTTATTTTAATATCCAACAGTTTTTTTTTTAAGTAGCCATGAATCTCCTAGAATATTCCTTATTATGATAGTGTAACATTTTTACACTTATTTTAACATAGTATTTATCAGTTCTTAAGATACTTTACTATGTACTTTATCCTAACAAACATCTGTGTGATAGCCAGAGTATATAAATTTTTTATTTCCAATTTATTAAAAGTAAAACCCAAAGAATTTGGTTTTAAGCAAAAGTACTGGCTTATTTGATGCATTTTTCCCCTCTTGGCTAGGTACATATCAAAACATGTTGCATAAAAATACTGTTTGATCGTATTTTTGAAAATTTGGGGCCGGAGCGATAGCATGGTGGGTAGTGTGTTTGCCTTGCACGCGGCTGACCCGGGTTCGATCCCTGGCATCCCATATGGTCCCTCGAGCACCACCAGGAGTAATTCCTGAGCGCAGAGCCAGGACTAACCCCTGAGCATTGCTGGGTGGTGACCCAAAAAGCAAAAAAAAAAAAAAACAACATTTTATCTAGACATATTACTGTTTTATCACAAAAAATAAAAAGCATACAAAAATGATTTGTGCCCTTGGAAAAAAGATGGCTTTATTCTCCTACTTTAGTCTCAAGATGGGTAGGAGGAGACATTGGATACTTAAAATATGATTGTAAGCTGTCAGACCTGCTAAGTGTTGTGTTAGCACTTTTCAAAACTTCCTGAGTGGATTTTTATGACAAAATACAGTTGATCCATAAAGAAAATTCAGTTAACTTTTCCATGAATGGTAAGTCAGATGGGTCTTATTGTGAAATATGGCACACTTCCCACTCTTCTATCACATTGTTCATTTCTTCGAGGTTAAAATTGCGGCAGCTGCATCTGAATGTCTCTCCCCATCACCTTGGGTAGCTTTCCAATTTCTGCTCTTATTTTTTTTTTTTTTAATTTATTTATTTATTGAATCACTGTGGGAAAAGTTACAGAGCTTTCGGGTTTAGGTCTCAGTCATGTAAATATCAAACACATTTCCCTTTACCAATACTTATTTTTAACCCCGAACCCCAATAGACCCCCACCTCCCACCCCTCCCAATTCTTGTGAGGCAGATGAGTTCTAGTTAATAATCTACTTTGACTAGATAGATTGTTTCGATAGAAGATGCACAATTATTGTTTAGAGTTTACGACCCACCCCCCACAATCAGATATGCTGAAACAGCGTTGTGAAATGATTTGCTTTCTACAACTTGGTTTAAGAATAAAATGATGTCGCGCGGCTGCTATCGCGGCCGCGCGGTTTTGAATTTCTGCTATTTTACTTACTGACCCTGGAAGAATTTCTATTAAAAGTTAGATATTAAGAGATTGGTTTCTATGCCCTGGAGTCGTGGCCGTGTCGGAGAGCCGCTCGTGGGGGGCAGCTGGCGACCTCGGTGGGGCGTGGGGGATGGCCCACAAAGCCCCCCTTCCCATGAGGTTCCTGCCGCTCCCACCGAGCCCGGCTCAAACCTGCTGTCCACAAGGCTCCCGTGCGGCCGCCATCTTTCTTTCCAGAGAGGAGCGGGCGGGCTGGTCAACGCCCTTTCCCCTCCGGGCAGGCTTGGTGGCGCGGTTTAACACATAGTCCATTTGCTTTTCTGCTCCAAGCGGCTGGTTCTCTGTGCTAAGTCCTTGTGCCTCTGGGGCCGTGGCCGTGCCGGAGAGCCGCTCGTGGGGGGCAGCTGGCGACCTCGGTGGGGCGTGGGGGACGGCCCACAAAGCCCCCCTTCCCATGAGGTCCCCGCCGCTCCCGCGGAGCCCGGCTCAAACCTGCTGTCCACAAGGCTCCCGTGCGGCCGCCATCTTTCTTTCCAGAGAGGAGCTGGCGGGCCGGTCAACGCCCTTTCCCCTCCGGGCAGGCTTGGTGGCGCGGTTTAACACATAGTCCATTTGCTTTTCTGCTCCAAGCGGCTGGTTCTCTGTGCTAAGTCCTTGTGCCTCTGGGGCCGTGGCCGTGCCGGAGAGCCGCTCGTGGGGGGCAGCTGGCGACCTCGGTGGGGCGTGGGGGACGGCCCACAAAGCCCCCCTTCCCATGAGGTCCCCGCCGCTCCCGCCGAGCCCGGCTCAAACCTGCTGTCCACAAGGCTCCCGTGCGGCCGCCATCTTTCTTTCCAGAGAGGAGCTGGCGGGCCGGTCAACGCCCTTCCCCTCCGGGCAGGCTTGGTGGCACGGTTTAACACATAGTCCATTTGCTTTTCTGCTCCAAGCGGCTGGTTCTCTGTGCTAAGTCCTTGTGCCTCCGGGGCCGTGGCCGTGCCGGAGAGCCGCTCGTGGGGGGCAGCTGGCGACCTCGGTGGGGCGTGGGGGACGGCCCACAAAGCCCCCCTTCCCATGAGGTCCCCGCCGCTCCCGCGGAGCCCGGCTCAAACCTGCTGTCCACAAGGCTCCCGTGCGGCCGCCATCTTTCTTTCCAGAGAGGAGCTGGCGGGCCGGTCAACGCCCTTTCCCCTCCGGGCAGGCTTGGTGGCACGGTTTAACACATAGTCCATTTGCTTTTCTGCTCCAAGCGGCTGGTTCTCTGTGCTAAGTCCTTGTGCCTCCGGGGCCGTGGCCGTGCCGGAGAGCCGCTCGTGGGGGGCAGCTGGCGACCTCGGTGGGGCGTGGGGGACGGCCCACAAAGCCCCCCTTCCCATGAGGTCCCCGCCGCTCCCGCCGAGCCCGGCTCAAACCTGCTGTCCACAAGGCTCTCGTGCGGCCACCATCTTTCTTTCCAGAGAGGAGCTCTCTTATTTCTTTATGTATGTTCTCGATTGTGCGATCCATTGTTTCTTTCATGTCCTCTTTCAATTTACTGGCTATCTGACTGTTTCATTGAATTCATTGAACATCTTCATGACTTCATATCTGAATTCTTTCTCAGAGAGGTCCCTTAGGTGAATAGCACCTACTGAGGCTTCTGGTCCCCATCATCTTGGGATCCGGAAGAATGAAAAGGTAGAATTTGCTGTGGAATTTGGCTGTGATACCAAGTATAACATGTGTCTCACAACTGTGGCAGCAATTTGTGATTAGCAGGTTTTCTGGGGATAGCTTTGTTCTTCTACAGTGATTAATTTTTAGGAAATGTGTTTTGTTTTGTTTTCTTTTGTTTTGGGGCCATGCCTGGTGATGCTCAGGGCTTACTCCTGACTCTCAGGAATTACTCCTGGTGGTGGTTGGGGACCCATTTGGAATGGTCATCTGCATGCAAGGCAAGCTCCCAATTGCTGTACTCTTTCTCCAGCCCCTAATTTTCAGGAATTTTAAATATAACTAGTTTGCCTCTCTCTGGAGCAAGAATAAAAATTAATTCCCACAAATTTGTGAAGTTAATAATTTTTTTGGCTTTGGCCTTTTTTTTTTTTTTCCTAGTCGCTTTGTACTCTTTGAAAGGCCCACAACGGAAAGAATCTACTTTGATTTGAAGTACCCTTTGGTTTATTGGATTCTGATAATGCTTGTTCAAAGGATATACTGGATTTCTCTTATTAAACTCATAAATAAATGTCAATGATTGTTAGAGAAATTTCAGATGTTATAGGCATATCAGGAAGATGGTTTTTGGTGGTCGAGCCCTGTAGCCGACTGACTGAACTCCTCCCTTCCAGTCATTTTTAGCTCTTGTTAAAGGGTTCTTTGAGTCAAATGGAGAAGTATGTGGGAATAAATTAAAAATATACTAAAGCAGTAAATATTTAATTCTAACATACTATTTGTGTTAGCTAAAATTTCCACTATATAATCTTTCAACTGTATAATCTTTTCATGTGAGCTGAATAGGTCTTGTATTACATAAATTATTTTTGGATCCTTATAGGCCATCTTAAGTAATTAAAAGAGTATGTTTGAGTAGTAGGAATGAGAGTACACTTAATGGGATACTTGTCACCATTTCAGGTTACAATGCATTTGCAAGTTAAGTATGGGGTTACAAGGACTTGTTGTTTATTAATCATGGTCTAATCATGAATCTGAATAATAATGACAATGCTAAGATCATTGAGATTTACTTTTTTGGGGTGGGGGGGGTCACACCCGGCAATGCACAGGGTCACTCCTGGCTCTGCACTCAGGAATTAAATCCTGGCGGTGCTCAGGGGACCATATGTGATGCTGGGAATTGAACCTGGGTTGGCCGCGTGCAAGGCAAACGCCCTACCCACTGTACTATCACTCCAGCTCCGAGATTGACTTTTTAAATGTTTGCTGTTTTGTTTTTCCTATTTTGGGGCTATACCTGGCAGCACTCAGGACCTATTCCTGGCTCTCTGCTCAGGAATGACCCCCTAGTAGTGCTTGGTTCCTCATATACAGTGTCCTGTATAGAGCTGGGGCCAAACACATGCGAGGCAAATGCGTTACCTCCTGTACCTCTGAAGTAAAGGTAAAGGCCCTCCCGTTGATCGTCGATTTGCTCGAGCGGGCCCAGTAACGTCTCCATTGGAGACTTTGTTGTTACTGTGTCTGGCATATCGAATACTCTCGGTAGCTTGCCAGGCTCTCCGAGAGGGTACCTCTGAAGATTACTCTTTATATGCATTTGGGTATATATTCACTGCTGGTTAACATTTCAGTGACGTTAGAGTGAATAATCACTTAACTGTGAACTACAAGTATTCCCAGCCGAATGTAGTTTCAAAACTTAAGATTTCTGTCACGGCGATTGTTTGGCACTAATTTTGAATTTCTCACAATATAATAGAATTAAAAAAGAAGCAATAGAGGAAATTTGGCTTTCATTATTCACACATTGGAATGCTAGATTGAGTACAAATGCCAAGGCTGGCACTTATTGATGTCTTTGTTCACCTTTGCATCTTTGGTATGAAATAGACAATTAATATTGAAGGAATGAGTAACAGTGATTCAGTGTTTTCTTGGATTTTTCTAGTTTCTACTTGCAGTTGAAAGATAGCTGGAAGTAACAAGAGGGAAGGCTGGAGAGATAACGGGGTGGGCAGGTGCGGGATACCCTGTACTGCATGGTCCATGGAACACCACAAGGAGCAGATCCCCAAGTACCGAGATAGGGGTTTGGTGGGGAATACCACAACTTACGGTCTCCAAAACAAAAAAACCTTAGAGTTATTAACATGAGGTAGAACTGTAAAACATGTTTGGGTTTTATCCTGGGATTAGCTCTGCAGCCACTGCTTCCTTGGAGTTCTTTTACTTTTCAGACCATCCCTGGTGGCATTTTGGGCTATACTAACTCTCCAGCCCCACAGGTTCCTTTGTAATATAACATGATACTACAGTTACTCATTAATTGGTGGGAGTGACTATGTATTCACTTATCTTGTGAAAGTTTTTTTCTTGCTTTTAATCTCTTGTACTACTTTTTTCTCTTTGCAGTTCTAATTGTGGAGTGGTAAATGTCTATAATCAAGAATCTTGTCTCAAAGAAACAAACCCAAAGCCAATAAAAGCTATAATGAACTTGGTAACAGGTGTTACGTCTCTGACCTTTAATCCTACTACAGAAATCTTGGCAATTGCTTCGGACAAGATGAAAGAAGCAGTCAGATTGGTAACAGTGCCTTGCCCTTTCTTTTATCCTTGATAGTTTTTAAATCTAAGTTGAAAAATAATATAATGAGTGTTGTATTACTTTTTGATGTAGAATTATTTGTATTATAGCTTCTTGAGGTTATTGTAGAAATGAGATACAATAGCCACTAAATTAGTGTTTGTCAGTTCTTTTGGGAAAGCTGTGTTGTCTGATCTTAACATTTCTAAAGCAGTCTTTGTTTTCAGTTTTTCAGCATATGCATAAAGAAATATGTTTAAGTCAGACACTTAATTTCTTTGTGGTTGTCTTTCATCGACTTTTTTTTAGGGCTCCTTAATGAGTAACGAATGAGTGGAGGTGATTCTTAGGTTTTGAAAATAGATTGAACTTGAAAATTATGTGACGAGATTGCAATTCAAACTGCTGGCATAAAACTATGGACAAATCTTTGTATAAATCACTAAACTTGTTGATTTCTTAGGAAGACTCCTACTATTCAGTGTGTGGTCAGTGAAATACAGTACATTGGGGTGGGGTGTCACTGGTTTTTTTTGTTTGTTTTTGTTTTCTGAAAAGGGAGTAGACCAAATTAAGTTTGTAAACATTTATATAAAATCTCATCTGAAATTATGGATGATGACAGGTAATCGAGACATACATAGTTGAATGGTAACTGTGGGTTTAAACATAAAATTTCTTGCAAGAGCGAAACATTTTTTGAAATGGGAGTAGTTAAAATTCCAGTCTACTTAGGATAACTGTTACCATGCTTAGGTTTTATTTATCCACACCTTGAGTATTGTCTATTTTGTCTTGTTCTTGGACTCGTGCTTTCCAGAATAGTCTTGTAGAAAGTGATTTCCTCCTCATGCTTAGACCTGGCTTCGGGTGAACTTTTGGCTCTTAAGCGGTTTGCATGGTTGTCCATCTTGAGGAGCAATTGCAAAAAGCTAAGAGTAGATGACATAGTTGAAAAAACAAAATGAAGAAAGGAAATTATGATATTGATATTACTTTGTTTAGTCTTCAGTTATATAAAATCAGAATTCTCATAATGTTTGAAGTGTTCCTTGTGATCAAATTTTCCTATTCTTTACTGTAGTCATTAAGTTAGGTACTGATGGGTATTACTGTTGACTTTTCACTTTAGTTTATTTGTTCAGCAAACATTTGAGTCTAACAGGCACTAGCAAAACTTACGCTGCATTAACAACATTAAGAAAATGGGGCCAGGGAGATAACCCAAAGGCTAGAGTGCATGCTCTGCATGCAGAAGGCCCTGGTTTAGTTCTCGCCATTGCATGGTCCCCAAGCATTGAACTTGGTGTAGACCCTGAGTTCTGTGGAATGTTGTGTTCAGATCTCTTCCCTCTGTCTTAATCAAGAATGCATTGAAAATCAAATTTTGGAACACTTTGCTACAATAAGAGAATTGTGTTTTGTGTGCACTATAATCAAAATGAACAGTTTAATTCCAGCACAAAGATTAAAATTTAAGAAAGGAGTTCCCAGTTACTTTAGTTTAAAGCCTCTTAATATCTCCTTCCAGGTTCACCTTCCTTCCTGTACAGTATTTTCAAACTTTCCAGTTGTGAAAAAGAAGACTATTTCTCTTGTTCATACCATGGATTTTTCTCCCAGAAGTGGGTATTTTGCCATGGGGAATGAAAAGGGCAAGGCTCTACTGTATAGGTAGGTGTTAACATTAAGTAAGAAATATTTGTTAATTTCTTTTGAGAAAAAATGCCAGTCTGATATTTTTGCAGTTATATACAATTTATTATTTACAGTTTATTAATTATAAATGATTACCTATAGGAAGCTTAACTTGATTTTCATAGTTCTTCTATAACAAAATTGCATTTTTCTCCCATAAAATGTCACAACCAGAGAAAAGGTTAATCTGGAAAATTTGAGGGGGTAGTAGTGGCTTTTTAAAATTATACTACAATCAATATAGAAAAGTGATTAATATATTAATATATTAATTTTATTATATATTAATATTAATATATAATATATAATTATTATATATTATATATAATTATTATATATAATATAATTATATATAATATATATTTATATTTATATATTATATATAATATATATAAAAATATATATAATATAATATATAATATAATATAATTATTATATATATTATATATATAATAATTATATATAAAATATATCATATATAATATATAATAATATTAATATATTAATTAATAAATTAATATAATTATAATTAATATATAATTAATATAATTAATTAAATATAATGTTATATATAATATATAATATAATTAAATTAAATATAATGAATTAAATATAATATAATTAATATATTAATATATTAATTTTCGATATGCAAAATAATTATTTGATGTGTATATATGTTGCATTTGATCACCACACTAAGTTTGGTTAATGTCTATCAGCACATGTAATTATTAAAATTATTAAAAAAATTTTTAACAAGCACTTTCACGTACAGGTTTCACATGCTACCGAAATTTGACTTAACTTTGTATGTTATTTTTTGACTCTGGGAATGCTATATAAATGGATGGCAGTAGTGTTCCCAGATCCTTCTAAAAATTTATGTAACTTACTAAATCCTACCAAATAATATTGTGCTACAGCTGGAATTTTTGTGTGCAGTCAGTGCATTATTATTTTTTTAAGGGTGCTTACCAAGGCACTGCATCATGGGCACAAAGCTATTAGTCGGCCCTACCACCCCCAGCTGTGACCCTAAAGGCCTCCTCTCATTACATGTTTACCTGTAGTTGTAAATAATGATGTTAACTACAGTGAAACCTACCTAAAACTTTTTTTTTTTTTTTTTTTTTTTTTTTTTTTTTTGCTTTTTGGGTCACACCCGGCGATGCTCAGGGGTTGCTCTTGGCTCATGCACTCAGGAATTGTTCCTGGCGGTGCTCAGGGGACCATATGGGGTGCCGGGAATTGAACCTGTGTGGATCATGTTGGCTGCATGCAAGGCAAATGCCCCACCCGCTACGCTATCGCTCCAGCCCCAAACCTACCGAAAACTTGCATGCTCTATCCTAGTCCTGTTTCTGTACCAGGCATATTTGTCTGTGAAGCTGGAACAGAGAACCCTAATTATATCATCTCTAGATGAGAGACAACAAGATGTCTCTTTATGGAGATCTGCGTGTTTCTCTTTTTGGGGTGGTTGAGGGGGAATAAGGGGGGTTGGGTCACACTTGGCAGTCTCAGGGGTACACCTGACAGTGTTCAAGGGTCATTCCTGGCAGTGTATAGGGAACCAAACTAGGACCTCTTGCGTGCAAGGCAAGCATAATAACTTTCTTTTTTGTCTCTGACCCAAACTGTTGAACACTCTAGCATTGTAGTGAAAGCTATATAGAAGCCTGTTTTTGTATGCTTCTGGGAATGCCTGCTTCTGAACTATGCTGAGATGCAAGTGGAGGGGGGAGGAATGTAAATGGAATTTGAGTAGATCGTTATGTAAAGAGAAGGTAGCAAACAATAATGACGGGGTTTTAAATTCTTTTTATTTTGAAAGGAAAATGGATTTTACCAGGAAAATTGATAATTTTACCATTTTATTTTCAGATCACTATTGGAGTGATTGAGTTCAGAATATATAAAAGGATGCAAGCTTGTACTGTACTTAGAAATTCTCTTGCAAAGCTTTGCATCATTATTATAACTGGATTTTTTTTTTTTAAGTAAGCCTTAAAGGGCATTGGAGTTTTCACCAGAGTAAAATGACAACATTTCTATTAGGTATGGTTGATAGGGTATTTTATAGGCTCCCAAATTTGATACTTTTCCCCTGAAATCTGAGTTATTAGCATTAGAATCCTACAGAATGTCAGATTGTGGAGCCTTAACCTGACTGCCTGCTGAGAATGATTGATTGCATTTTTCCCTTCGAAAATCTTCCTAAGTGCTGTTCTGTGATCTGATTGATAATACTCTGAGCAATCAAAAAATCGTTAAGATGATTTGTCCTTTACTTTTTCAGGTTGCACCATTATTCAGACTTCTAGAGAAATTGTTCGAAGTAAGAAATTTTTTTATTACTGCTTCTACATATTTTAGAGTTACGTTGCTGAGTTAGCAGAACTGCTACTGTTCACTGCACCTGTTGTATCTTTATGGAGAGTAGTGGAATGCAAGAGTAGATCAGAAAGAATCTAGTTGTACTTGAACTCTGGGGAATTTCTTAGCCTGTATCTCAGCAATCTGGCTGTTTTTCTCTGACGTTACATCTCTAATAATGAGTTCAGTAATGATCATCAGAATTTGGTAATCATTTAATACACAAGGAGAATATACTTTGCAGGAAGAGTAAGTCTCTTCACAACTTGCATGAGCCCTCTTATTTTGCAGCTATTTCTTGAAAGATTTTTATGTGGCTTGTCCAGTAGCTTAATAGTGAATTGTCACAAACCCATTTAATGCAAATAATAATCGTTACATTTGTGTTCAAATTTATGAGGACATACTTTGGTCCTGTAACTTGATCTTTGACCTGCGATAAGATGGTTGGTAGTTCTGGGGTTGAGCTTTTTTCAGTTCTTTTTATCACAGTTGACATTTGGTCTTCAAGATTAATAGATATTGAGGAGAAATTCTGGGTGTGCGTAGAAATTTAGTTAAGGAAAATAAATTACAGTTCTAGTACATGATTTGTTAATGACCAGTAGCCATAAATCAAGTGTATCATTTCTTCTGTTCTTTCTTCAGGTTCAGCTGAGCCACATGAAAAGAATATCCTGATAAATCTTAGAAATTTTACAGAATGTATAATATGATTTATTGGTCCTGTTATGCCTATTTAATAGAATTGTCTTAATAAACACATAACTTCTGTTTGAAAACAAGTGTATGTGATTGTTCTTTGTCTGCCTACTTGTACAACTCGGATACATTTAATAATAAACGTGATAGAAGAATCTGGCTATAACTAAATACAATATGGGGTAGATATTTTATAGCCAGCTTTGACCTTAACAATTCCCCATGTTTCGAAGTATCAGCTAAGAGTTCTGGTGGACGTCATTGATATAAGAGTCATGGTGCTAGCTCATCACTGTATCACTGTCACCCCGTTGATTGTGGAATTACTCGAGGGGGTGCCAGTAACGTCTGTTCCAGCCCTGAGATTTAGTAGCCTCTTCTTACTCGTCTTCCAACAATTGGAGGCTCTTTCGGGGTCAGGGGAATGAGACCTGTTGTCGTTACTGAGTTTGACATAGCGAATACACCACAGAAAGCTTGCCAGGCTCTGCCTGTGTGAGCGGGATACTTTTGGTAGCTTGCCGGGCTCTCTGACAGGCAGTTGTGCTGTCTCATAAAATGAAATAAAGTGTTTATTTAAATGAAAGGTCTTTTCTGGATTTTGTACATCTTTGAAGGGTGGGATGGGGAGGTGGGATTCACAGTGCTCCAGGGGCATTGCTCTGCCAGTTCGGGCCAGATGGTTCTGTGCTAGGATGCAGGGATGCAATGCTGCACAGGTTCTGCAGTATTTGGGGGACCAACAGGTTCACACTTGGTGCTTGGGACCTCCGGTGCTATACCTGGTGATGCTGGGGGCCCTGAAGTGCTACAGCTTCACATGGGGCTTCACTGTGCCTGCATAGCATGTGCCTCTAGCCCCAGATTTCAGTACTTTGAATGGTCATGATTATGTGGAAGGGAGGGAGCATGTGAAGACCTGATACGTTTGTGTCGCCAATAGCTACTTCTGCATATATCCATAAGGTAAAGGTAAAGGCCCTCCCATTGTTCGTCGATTTGCTCGATCGGGCCCAGTAACGTTTCCATTGGAGACTTTGTTGTTACTGTGTTTGGCATATCGAATACGTCACGGGGAGCTTGCCAGGCTCTGCTGTGGGGGCGAGATACTCTCGGTAGCTTGCCGGGCTCTCCGAGAGGGGCGGAGGAATCGAACTCGGGCTGGCCATGTTGGCTGCATGCAAGGCAAACGCCCTACCGCTGTGCTATCGCTCCAGCCCCATTACTCTAACTAAAATGTGTTTAATTCCAGTTTCAAGGTTAGTAATTCTTTAGTAAGTAAGTAAGTAAAGGCCCTCCCATTGAGCATCGATTTGCTCGAGCGGGCCCAGTAACGTCTCCATTGGAGACTTTGTTGTTACTGTGTTTGGCATATCGAATACGTCACGGGGAGCTTGCCAGGCTCTGCTGTGCAGGCGAAATACTCTCAGTAGCTTGCCGGGCTCTCCGAGAGGGGCGGAGGAATCGAACTCGGGTCGGCCATGTTGGCTGCGTGCAAGGCAAACGCCCTGCCGCTGTGCCATCGCTCCAGCCCCATTACTCCAACTAAAATGTGTTTAATTCCGGTTTAAAGGTTAGTAATTCTTTAATCAGAATATAACCATACTCTAATCCCTTCATATCTTAGGGGAAAAGCTAACATTTAAAGTAATATTAAAGAGATTGCTTATGAGCAATATCTAGTAGGACAAGTTTTTGATCGCCCCTCCTTTTTAAAAATGGAAAAGGAAGAATTCAGGGTAGAAGAGAGAGATGTTCAAGCAACAGAAGATGGCTCTGGTTCTGCCCAGAGATCTACATGTCACCTACCTATTCCAACCAACAGGATTGGGGATTACCTTTGCTGTCTACAGGCCTACTGGGATGACCTGGAATAGCCCGGTTGGTTTGGATTGTGTTTGTTTGTTCTAGCATCTTTCAAGAATACTTGATTTTTAAAAAACGTTTTTTTATGTAGGGAATATGAGGAAAGAGAAAAAAGCATTTCGAGAGAATGCTGCTTCAGATGGGAGGGAGTACGGGCCTTTTCTGTTAAGGTGGTCTGTTGTGAAATTGTGAGAATTCTTTGTCCTTCCCTTTGTTACCTATAACTTCCACAGTGAACTAGGGCAAAGCTTTAATATTCCAAAAATACTTATTTATTAGTGTTATTCCTCTTTTGGGTTGCTAGGGGGCGGTATTGTGTTACGTGAGTAATAGACCTGCCTCTAGCTTTTTACCATCATCCTGTCTTTATCTAGCTGAATCATTGTTTCAGAAAGGAGCACAAACCATACTTGTTTGGATGCTGTTTTTAGGGTGTGAAAGATAAGCAGAAGTTTGTTCTAGAGAGAACGATGAAAGCGGCGCTTAATGTGTTTACCTCTGCGTTCTTGCCTTCTCTGGATCGTTTTTTATATTTACTAGGCAGAGTAATGAATTCCAAGTTCTAATCTCCAAAGTACACAGAAATATACTGTTACACAGAGAGGAGGTGCTACTAATCTTTTGTCCTGTCTTTTAGTACCATTTTCCCCCCTTTGTTGGGAGTCGGGAATTTGGATCAGCTTCTCATTGCTTCTTGCAGTCAGGGCAAGTTAATTCTTCATCGAGATGCACCTGCTGTCAGGAACTTCCCTTGGCAGCTTCAGAGTATGAATGATCCATTTCTGTTGGTGCTGGGAGGGAGCTTGAGCTGTGAGCTTTTGCCCTCCAGAACCACACAGGTTAGATTGAGGTTTCTTAAGCGTGGGAATTTGGTGAGGTGAAATCTTTATTGCATCCATTCCTCCATTCCTGTGAACTTTGAACACACTAAAGTATTGCCATTCTTTTGAAATTTCTCTGAGAAAAATTTGCTCAGCATCACTTACCATTAAGGAAATCCAAATCAAGAGGACTGTGAGGTCTCTCACCAATGAGAATGACATGTATCAAAAATAGTGGGAAAAATCTGTTGGCAGGGATGTGGTAAAAAAAAAAAGGAATTCTCATTCACTTCTGCTGAGAATGTCTGGTCCAGCCCCAGTGGAAAGCAGTTCTCTATAAACTTAGAATTGAGATGCCATTATTATCCAGCAGTTCCACTTATTTTGTTTTCTTAATGTTTGATTTTTTTTTAATTGAATCATCATGAGAACAGTTACAAAACTTTCAAGTTTAAGTCTTGGTTATACAATGATCAAACACCCATCCCTTCACCAGTGCACATTTTCCACCACCAAGAACCCCAGTATACCCCTCATCTCATCCCTCCCCTTGCTTGTGTGGCAGATGATTTCCACTTGACTCTCTACTTCGATTACATTCAATTTTTCATCAGAAGACCTACCATTATTATTTGAAATTTCCCCCCAACAATCAGACCTGCTGAAAAGGCATCATTAGATAATTTGTTTTCTGTTGCTGATAATGAAGAGCATATGCTTTTGGATTTCTGATGTTTTTAGTAGTTAAGTCCGGAGGGATTTCTGCCAGAAGCCACTGGGTTCCGAGATTGGTTTGTGTGCCTCTGGAATCATGGCCATTCAGGAGCCGGAGAAGCCATGCGTGGGCAAAAACTTGAGGTCTTGTCGAGGCAGAGAGAAGGGTCAGTTCTGGTCCCCATCCCATGAGACCCGGCATGTCTCGTCACTGCAGGCTTGTACCTCTCTGTCCAATAGACTCTGAAAGATGGTGGTCACCATGCTGCCACTGAGGGGAAAAGGTGGAAGGGACAATGCCCTTTCCCATCCGAGGTGGCACAGGGCCATAGCTTAATTCACAGTCCAGAAGCATTTCTGCCAGAAGTCATTGGGTTCCAAGATTGGTTTGCATGCCGCTGGGATCATGGCCGTTCAGGAGCTGGAAGAGCCGTTCGTGGGCGGCAACTTTGGGTCTCGTTGGGGCCCAGCAATTCCACTTTTGAGCATTTACCCCCAAGACATTCGTTCCAAAGGACATCTGAACACTGTTATTGAAGCACTTAGTAAAATAACTAAGATACGGAATTAGTCTTCTGGTCCAACAGCAGTTGAATGGATTATGAAGATGCAGTATATATACATAATGGAATATGACACAGCTGCAAGGAATGACAAACTCTACAACTTGCTGCAACCTGGAAGAGACAGTGTTGAGTGCAGCTAGGAGGAGGAGAAACACAAGATGAATTCACCTGTGGTCTAAAGAATAACTGGATGAGGAAATGTAAAGGGGGGATTCCTAGATCACCCTTGACCATAGAGTCTAGGGAAAAGGACAGAGAATGGAAGAAAAGATGGGGTGAGGGGAGGAAGAAGATGAGAAAGGGAAGAAATGGAAGTAATGAGGTCGGGGGCCTCCGGTATACCTGCGATGTGGGAAAGTGGCACACCTATATATCTAAAGTGCAGACTCAACAACACTGGAAACAAGATTTAAACTGCAACCACTGAACTTTGAAATGTACCTCTCAAAGTGTCTTGTGAGGGTGGGTGTGGGGGGACTGGGAGGGAGCACGGGAACACTGATGGCGGGAAATTGACGGTGGTAGGATTAATGTTGGAATATTGTATGCTTCAGAATAAATCACACTTTTTTTAAAACTTGAAAATTTGCTTGAAAACTGCTTAGAGCAAAGTACAGGTGAGCAGTCCCTTGTCTTACTGGGTTCTGTGTGTGTGTGTGCATATCTGTTGAGAGAGATGCTCCTTTCTCAGCCTAGACAGAAGCGGTTGTCACCAGTAAATCTGTACTGCTGGTGGGGACGGGATGCAAGCAGGTGCCCATGAAAGGAAGTGCTTACTCACCTCTGCTGTCAGCTCCCAGCTACCTTGTAAATGCACCTCCAAATTGATCGTGCAGATACCCTGGTCTTCTGTTACTCTAATCTGGAGGAAATGGCTAGGACAGGAGGTGTGGGTACAGGTAGAGTGGTCGGTAAGGACAGCTTATGACTCTGGTGCTGTCTTTATGTTGCTATCAGGATGTAACTTTCACTCGTGCAAATCTCATGGTTTCTGTAAGGAATGTGATCTCTTTACAGTGAAGTAAATGGGCTCAGAAGGGCTGCACAACACAATTCTAAAGCCATCCTTACATGAAACAGTGGTCCTCAAAGTGGGGTGTGCATAATAAAATGAGATACAGCCCATTAAATCATG